TCCAGGTCAGATCAGATCTTATCTTTGAGTCTTCCGCTGCGCCACATTGTGCCATTTGTATGTATTGAGGTGTACATTGCTTGTTGATGCTATGATGACATTGCTTTGTTCACTTCAGTCCTTTTCATCACATTGCAGATCCTTATTCTACTGCGCATTGCTCCCCTGAGCATGCGTCATAGTACAAGACAGCGCAGCGGAATGCTGGAATACCAACGACTAGTCCAATCAATGTCGCAAGGCAGACCAAACATACATCATCCTCATCACAAGGTGTGAAGGGGCCTGGCGTTACACACAGGAAGAATGCGCCAGGTCCAGACTATACACAGACGAAGAGGCGGGGATAGGACGGAGAAGAGGGGGAAGATGGGAATGTCGTCAACAAGTCTTTGGTACAAGTCCCAGATAATCCCTTGTCAAATGTCTGAAGCCCAATGTCGAGTCTGGATCCAAATACCACCAATCCCTCTCTCTCTCCTAGTCTGCTGATGCAGTAAAGTCACGTAGCGAGAGGGTGAGGGGGAGATGGTGGACTGAGAAGAGGAAGAAGAAGAACTCTCTCTCTCTCTCTCTCTCTCTCTCTCTCTCTCACATGTGCCAGGTACTAACCTGTGAAGATGGCGCTGTGCTGCAGGTACCTCGATGACGAGCTGGAGGTATGGCGCTGCAGATATGTCGCCCTGGCCTCCGCCCAATCTCTCTCTCTGTTACATGCTGCGCCTGCACACGCAGGCCATTTTCCAGGCCCTGCGCCCTTCAGCCAAAAAGCCTAGAATTCAGCCTGAAAACAGGGGCCTACAGTCCCTGTGTCGTTTCAAACTAAAAATGGCAAGAGCCTTTTTAGCCTGAAACGAAGGGCTATTTTCGGTCGTTCACCAGAACGACCGGCCCTGAAACTCAGGCACCAAACCAGGGTTTCGGGAACAGGCTATTCTTAGCCTGTATCCACGCCAGCCTCAGCAGATGCTGCAGCGCCAGCCCCTGGCACACTTCGGCATTGGCAAGAGCAGCCTCCTCGGCCTGGCTGGCCCTTCACGCAGTCAGGAGACAGGCCGTGGATTGGCAAAAGCACAGCCTCCTCGGCCTGGCTG